TCTCGCTCTGGAACCAAAACAGTCAAAATTCATATCGGTTCTCTATTACAGTTTCCTAGTCCACGGATCTCCAGTTCTGATAATCAGTAAAGGAAGTGGAATCGACCTTCAAGATCTCATATCGTACACTGGAGGAATTACGGAAAAATCTGCAATTTTTTATACCTCCGAAATCATTTGCGGTCTAGAGCACCTTCACGCCTTGCAGATCGTTCATTTGGACATTAAACCTGCTAATGTACTACTGACTGATACAGGTCATGTCATGATCTCAGATTTTGATCGCTCGTATGACATTACGCGCGAGGCAAAACCTCCAACTTCTTTGGATTTTACTGGAACTGCTTATTTTATGGCGCCTGAGATTATTCAAAGGAAGGTTATCACAACGAAAGCAGATGTGTGGAGTCTGGGTATCCTCATGGCCGTATTAGTGTGCGGCCTGAAACGGCTCAAACCATCTACTTTAAACGAAATTACTGAGTCCTCAAAAAGAGGCACATTGGCAGTCAAAGTTTTTGCCAATTTTTCAGGACCTCTTAAGTCATTTTTTAATGCCTGCCTGCAATATCACTATAGGGGTAGGGCAAGTGTAGCGGCACTAAAAAGACTTCGCTTTTACAAAAGTGTCGATTGGAACCAAGTAGCTGCTGGTGGGACTCGTCCCCCATACAAAACTTCCGAAATTCCTAAACCGGCATCTCGAATGGAATTGAAAGCTGATCCTCACGACCCTTCAATTTTGGCGGCTGCCTATGGCAAGGATTCCCCGCAGGTGAACGGTCATTTTCTATGTAAAAAGGATGGTAAAAACAAATGGTTTTTAAGAACGCATCCTCCAAGTCTCTTCAAGCTTCCAGTTGCACGAAAGGTGCTGAAAAAAGATAATGGATGTATCACCGACTTTCATTTTATAAATCCCCGCCTCAGTTCTAATGTCCATAAAGCATAATGGATGGTCACCACTTTTTTGTCAAATCGAGCAAAACGAAGATGAAATTTCCCCCAAAGGTCGCCTTGTTTGTTCAAAGTGTCCTATTTTTTAGATTTTTTTATTATTTTTACCAACTGTATGGGTAATTTTATAAAGTAATATTTGTCCTCCTTCTGAGTAAAATTTTCGACTTGAGCAAAGATCGTTACCAAACTTCACAAATTTCTCACGTAACCAAACGCCAAGTCATGCGTTTCCTCGGTTATAAGATCGAAAGTCACTAACTCCTTATCACTTGTAGAATTTTATTTGAATGTGTGAAATCGCTAAGGGTAAGAATGGGTAAAAACATTTGCAGGTGAAGGAGTTGGTGTCAGTAAATTGATGCGAACTTTGTGAGCTCAACTAAAGGCGAGTTAGTTTGAAGCTCGTCTAATTACCGATCCACCTATTCGTGATCGGACTCCTCCTCTTCGCTTTTACCCTTTCTTGAAGGGAAGAGTCATGTAGTGTATATGAGAATAAGACGTAATGGGAATAATTTTATAGTCTTTCGAGTCGAACACAAAGCCTCTTTAGCCTTAAACTTGTCTGCTGGATGGCCCA